CTTGGGCCCCTACCCTGCTCCGGCGCGGCCCGGCTCGGCCCCATGTACCGCGCGCTGTACGCATTCCGCTCGGCGGAGCCCAACGCGCTGGCGTTCGCCGCAGGCGAGACTTTCCTGGTGCTGGAGCGCAGCAGCGCGCACTGGTGGCTGGCGGCGCGGGCGCGCAGTGGCGAGACGGGCTACGTGCCGCCCGCCTACCTGCGCCGCCTGCAGGTGAGTGTGCTCCTCCCCGCCGGGCCACCGCATCCCCTAGTCTGGGCCGCATCGCAGAATCGACCCTGGGACTCCAGGCCCACTGGGACCTCCAACAGATAGGGAGTTTGAGAACCTGACCCTGAGACCCCAGACCCACGAGGACTGGGACCCCAAGAGCTCGCATCCCCACATAATACCAGGCCGTTGACAGACAACTCTAAGGACTCCAGACCTTCCAAAAGCGAAACTCTGGGACAGAGGCTCCTTGAGAATCCCAGACCCATTGGGATCTGAACCCCCATCTGAGTGGAGTTCAAGAGCGAGATTCCAGCCCCGCTGAATCCTGACCAGTTGCCCAGATCCCTGAGACTCCAGACCCTTAATCTCTTTTTCCCTGGATCCCCAGGATCCAACACTCTTGCCTCTCATCCTCAGACCCCGACCTGGAGCCACTTCCCCCACCACTGTGACCTGGGCCACCCTGGACAACTCCTATTTCCCCATCTTCTATGTCCACCCCCCCCCCACTTGGACCCTGGAATCATAGGTACCCCTGTCCCCTAGATGATCCCTCAAAGCCCTAAGACCTCAGCGTCTTTCACTATCCTGTACTCAGTTACTCCCTAAGCCCAGCTCTTCCTAAGACCACCCACCCACCCACTTTGGACCAAGTATTGCAGCCCCTGCTGACCCTTCCTGGGAATACTTCCTGCTCCCCACCTCCCCAAGTCTCAGGTCCTGACTTTTCAGACTTCCTTTCTCTGAAAGGGAGCATCATCTTTCCTTGTCCTCAGCTGGGAGTGGGGGCTGCTACCATTGTGAGAAAGTAAGACCTCCCTGTGGCTTCCCCTGGTCTGACTATGGCCCCATTTATTTCCAGTGGAGGCTGTTGCCCCCCTTCTTCTTTCCCCAAGAATAGTCCTGCTGTGGGGGCTGGGGTGCAGTGTCTCCAGCTGGTCTATTCTGACCATGGTGGAAAGGAAGGCCTCCAGGCCTGCCCTGTGCCAGACACCCCCTCCCCATCCTAGTTCCTCGCCTTTAGAAAACATCCCGTCCCAGCCTAGTTCAGGACAGAAATAACAAGATAAATTTGGAGATGTCATCTGGTCCTACCAGAGAGGATGGGCCCTGGGCCTTGGACCTCCCAGCCTGATCCTATCTGGGAGTGCCTGGGGTGACAGTGGGGAGTGCTGGACATCAGGGCTCCTGGGTCTGGAGTGAGCATATCAGACAGCCTCTTGGGCTGGGGGGTTGTTGGAGGCCTCTGGGGAAAGTCCTGCTCCTTCCACACGGGCCTGTGAGGCCCCTCCCCCTGAAAGGCCACTAGCGCTGTGTTTGGAGAAGGCAGAGAAGCTACCCGTCTTGTCTTCTCTGTGTCTTGGATTTCTGCAAATCTCCCTGCCTCGGTCTCCCTAACTGTGTCTGTGTTATTCTGACTCTCCACCTGTGTGTGCTTTTCTCCCTCCGACTCTCTCCCTGTCTGTCTCCGGCTCTCAATTCTTTCTGCGTTATCTCCCTCTGCCTGTCTCTCCCTTCCCCGCCTCTACCTCCGGGTCTGTCTTTCTTTCTGTGTGTATGTGTGTCTTTCTCTTCCTGTCTGTTTTTCTGTCTCCCTACAACTGCGCTACCTGCAGGGCTTTGCTAACCTCTGTGTCCGTCCGTCCCCATCAAGGCAGCTTCTCGAACCTGCTCTGGAGTGACATCTCAGTTCTGAGGCTCCTGTGTAGCCTGATGGACCATGTGTGCCAAGAATGGGAGGGGTGAGGCTGTGTGATCCCACAGCTGCCACCCTCTACGCCCCACCGCATGCCAGGCAGGCTGGGTAGATTAGACCCCTAAGTTGCCGGAGATGGCAACACAGAATCTGGGGCAGGGGCCAGGCCCCTTTCTCGTACTTGTCTTTGCCACAAACACAGAACTGCTGCTTTCCTGGACAGATCTAGAAGATTCCTGGAACAGCTTGTGAGGGGCTGAGTGCTGGCAGCAGGGGTGTGGAGGGGAGATCCCTTTTGGTTTGTCCTCAGCTACCAGGGTCCCAGTTCTGAGTATCTCGGGCCAGACGGCTCTGCGAAAACAGGGCTGTTCTGGAGTGTGACCTTGGTTTTGTGAAGAATCGGCAAGATCCAGAGTGATTCGTTAAGGGTTCCAGACAGTGGAGGCTGCCTGCCTGGCAGCTCAGCCTGAGCTCTGTCAAGCCTGAGGATAGGCTAGTTGTGTACTCCTGGCCTCAAGCTGGGGGGCCTTGGGCTGTGTGTTTGCTCCAGACCTCTGGTTTTCAGAGACGTCTTAGCTGAGAGCCTCCCTGTGGGGTGAAATCCTGAGCAGGGCACCAGTACGTCATGCCCCAGCTCCCTGAGTGATGCAGTGTGAGAACCCCATTTCGTATTCTGGTCTAGCTTTCTGTGTTCGCATCTAGCGTTCTAGGCTTCAGCTGTCGTGGTCCTCTGCCCCGGGCACCATCCTGCGCTGTGCTTGTGCTCAGTACCCTCACTTGACCCCCTGGTCTAACTGTCTACCCCTTCCCCGCATCCAGGGCCTGGAGCAGGATGTCCTTCAAGCCATTGACCGGGCCATTGAGGCTGTGCACAATGCAGCCATGCGGGATGGTGGCAAGTACAGCCTGGAGCAGCGTGGAGTCCTCCAGTGAGTGTGGAGGGCACCTCCCAGTGAGCGTGGTGGGGTGGGGGCCTTCAGGGGGTACCCAGAGGCGCGGAGGGCAGGGTTGGTGGTAGCGCAGAGTGGGTGGAGCATGAAGGAGGTGGGAGGGGCCTGGGCTATTAGGACCCAGCATCCCACAGGGAGCACGTGAGGACTTTGGGAGTTGTGAAGTAACACCCCCAGTAATCTCCCTGTTCCTCTGTCAGGAAGCTGATCCACCACCGGAAAGAGACTTTGTCCCGCAGGGGCCCCTCTGCCTCCAGCCCTGTAGCTATGACCCCGTCCACCAGTGACCACCATCTGGACGCTGCCGCTGCCAGGCAGCCCAATGGGGTGTGTCGGGCCGGGTTCGAGCGGCAGCACAGCCTGCCCAGTTCTGAGTATCTCGGGCCAGACGGAGGCCTCTACCAGGTACATGGTGAGAACATCCTGGGGAAAGGAGGTCGGTGGGGCCTAAGGCTTTGTCCAGAGGGATGAAGGGTCCACGCGGGTCAGCCATGCAGGACAGTGGCAAGATGCAGCCCAGAGCCATCGCCCTTGGAGCTCAGGGCCCGAGCCAGGCTGGCACCCCCGATGGCAGCCTGTCCTCTCAGGTCCCACTTGTGTCCTCCCAGATTCCACCACAGCCTCGCCGAGCGGCACCTGCCACACCACCCCCACCTGTGAAGCGTCGAGACCGTGAGGCTCTGGCAGCCTCAGGGAGCGGTGAGAAGGCAGCGTTGGGGGGATGGGGAGCACCCTGTGCTTGGAATGGCTGCTCTGTTGTGTCAGGGAGTTGGGGGTTCCAGGCTTGGGGGGAAGACAGAGCACATGTTGGGGCAGTTGGGGGCTCTGCAGAGGAACTAGGCCCTGTACTGCGGGACAGGGGCTCTGGGCTTAAAGGAGTAGGGGCCCCCAGGGGGCTGCCTCAACATAGCATCCACTCTCTGCCCACAGGCGGCCGCAACGCCACGCCCTCCGGGGGCAGTTCTGTGTCCAGCGGCTCCTCAGTCAGCAGCACTTCCCTTGACACGCTCTATACTGGCTCCAGCTCATCCGAGCCGGGCCCCAGCTGCTCACCCACACCTCCGCCTGTGCCCCGGCGAGGCACCCATACCACTGTGTCCCAGGCCCAGCCCCCTCCCTCCAAGGTGCCAGCCCCCGAGCCTCCTACAGAGGAGGTGGCAGTTGATACCCCCTCGGCTCCTGATGAGCTAGAGGCCCTGGGTACGCTGAGCCTGGGGACCACAGAGGAGAAGGCGGTGGCTGAGACAGCCGTGCCCAGGACCATCGGGGCAGAGCTGATGGAGCTCGTGCGGAGAAACACCGGCTTGAGCCACGAGCTGTGCCGCGTGGCCATTGGCGTCGTGGTGGGCCACATCCAGGCCTCCGTGCCAGCCAGCTCACCTGTCATGGAGCAGGTCCTCCTCTCGCTGGTAGAGGGCAAGGTGAGGGTGGGCGGCAGGGCCAGGGGCCTCCCTGTCCTCGGGCTGCCCTGCCACCCCTGCCCCATTCCCACCCTCACACTCGATGGTGTCCAGCCTTTATCTGACAGGTATTTGTTGACCTCTAGCTCTAGGCCCCCACTCTGCTGGGTGCTGGGGACATTTGAGCTGATCCTTGAAGGAGAGAGGTAGGAGCATTCCAGGCAGGGGCTCGGCCTGGACAGAGGCCGTGAGGCAGGACCAAGCTTGGCTCTTAGGATGGAGCGGAACAAGGCCAGCATGGCTGGAACACGGAGTAAGGGAGCAGTTGGTGTGGGAGGAAGTGAGACCTGAGGCAGGTGACAGGTGAGACCATATACGAGTGGCCGAGTTCTTTCTGGCTGCAGGGAAGTAATAGACATAGAGCATGAGTGAGGGCAGTGCCTTGCTGACCTTCGCAGTGGAAATGGGTGCTTCGAGAGCTATGATGAAGCCCAAGTGCCGACTTAGATGTGAGTTAGGTGTGTGGGCATCATGGGGTGAGTACTGGTCAGGGAGCAGAATTGGAGGACAACGAGCCCAGTCTATACAGTGGGGACCAGGTAGGCCAGAGGTCCCTCCTTGGGGCTCTGTGGCTCCTTCAGCTTGGGTTTGAGGTCGGGGAGCAGTGGTCAGTGGGCTTGCCTGTGCTAGGAAACTTCAAGGGGAACATGGGAGATGGGTAGATGATAGGCCTGGTGGAATCGGGGGGTGGGGTTTCAGAGTCTCATTCAGGCAGCGATAGAGCCTGTGGTCACCCTCGGAGGGGAGGTTCACCCAGGTCTGGCATGAGAGGCAAGTTGCTGGAAAACACCTCACGTGAACATTTATGCAGAAGCCTGCCCCTGGGGGTTATCGAGAATGGGGGATGGTGGAGTTATTGGAGAGAGATGCAGAGCCGGGCGGTGTCCTTGGGAACCTCGATGGGGACAGCTCTTTTGTGGGAGCTTGAAGGGCAGCAGTGGGAAGAGAACCTGGGTCTGGTACCCTCACAGGTCTTCAGAGGACACTGAGTAGGGGCAGCGCTGGTAGGTGAGGCCAGGGCCTCTCATCTGATGCCAGCCTAGCGCTCACGCCCATGACCATGGTCTAGGTCGAGCTCCAGGCCTCAGGGGCCTCCTGGATATGGTGATGCCAGGGGGTGTGCTGAGCCATGCCTTGCCCTCTCCCCGCAGGACCTGAGCACTGCCCTGCCCTCAGGGCAGGTCTGCCATGACCAGCAGCGGCTAGAGGTGATCTTTGCAGACTTGGCTCGGCGAAAGGACGATGCCCAGCAGCGCAGCTGGGCCCTGTACGAGGATGAAGGTGTCATCCGCTGCTACCTGGAGGAGCTACTGCACATTCTGGTGCGGGGTGGGGGCCCACAGCTGTCCCCAGTATGCAGAGCAGCTGTCCTCAGATAGGGCAGGGACCACCCTGCACCGTCCTCCAGTGCTCAGGAGTCTCCCTTCCGTGGATTCAGCTTGCTCACATGTGGCCGCACAGCTCACACTGAATGACTGTCACCCTTCCTCCTCCCACAGACTGACGCAGACCCTGAAGTGTGCAAGAAAATGTGCAAGAGAAACCAGTTCGAGTCTGTGCTGGCCTTGGTGGCCTACTACCAAATGGTGCGTGCGAGACGGAGGGGAGGGCGTGGAGGGACCCGGGTCGAGGTGGGAATTCTGGGTACTGAAGACACAGGGTCCCCTGCCAGGAGCACCGGGTGTCACTGCGGCTGCTGCTCCTCAAGTGCTTTGGTGCCATGTGCAGCCTAGATGCAGCCATCATCTCCACTCTTGTGTCATCTGTGCTGCCTGTGGAGCTGGCACGGGACATGCAGACAGACACGCAGGGTGAGGCAAGGGAAGCTTCCCACCGTCTGAGGGGGTGGTTTCCTACCACCTCGGGCTCTGACGGCCTGCCTTGCTCCCCCAGACCACCAGAAGCTCTGCTACTCCGCCCTCATCCTGGCCATGGTCTTCTCCATGGGGGAGGCGGTGCCATACGCACACTATGGTAAGCGGGCGGTTGCTGACCAGCTTCCTGCAGGGGGCCCATAGCCAGCCGGAGCTGGGACCCGTGGCCTGAGGGCCTGGGGACCCACTGATCAGAGCTGGACAGGCATAGAGTGTCTCCAGGGCTCACAGAAACCCAGGGAGGTTGGGCGGCGCGTGGCGGGGAGCGGGGCCGCAGGCTTCCTGTGCCCTCTCCCAGAGCACCTGGGCACACCCTTCGCCCAGTTCCAGCTGAGCATCGTCGAGGACGGGCTGCCCTTGGACACCACCGAGCAGCTGCCGGATCTGTGCATGAACCTGCTTCTGGCTCTCAACCTGCACCTGCCAGGTGGGGGTGGGGTCCGGCCGGGAGGTGGCCGACCAGCTCAGGTCCCTCCAGGCTTAGCGGCTGTGCACACCCATGTCCTTCCTCAGCCCCTGACCAAAACGTCATCATGGCCGCCTTGAGCAAGCACACCAATGTCAAGATCTTCTCCGAGAAGCTGCTCTTGCTGCTGAACAGAGGCGGTGAGGGCCCAGGGATCTGTGGGGTACCACTTCCATGTCCTGTGACTCTACCACCCCCATAGCTCCCTGGGGCCACCCGGCCTCCGACGAGGACCACCCTCATGCCTCTCTCCCTGCCTCCTAGATGACCCTGTGCGCATCTTCAAACACGAGCCGCAGCCGCCGCACTCCGTCCTCAAGTTCCTGCAGGACGTGTTTGCCAGCCCCAGCACAGCCGCCATCTTCTACCACACGGACATGATGGCGCTCATTGACATCACCGTGCGGCACATCGCGGACCTGTCGCCTGGAGACAAGGTGCCTGGAGGTGGCTGCGGTGGGGGACGGTAGCTGTGTAGAAACCGAAACAAAAAGGGGGGGATACGACACTGAACGGAGACGAGGGACGGGGTTGCTGCTGGAGCCAGGTGAGTGTGGGAGGCTTCTCAGGAGCCGTGACGGGTGTGCCAGGACCTAAAGGAGCCAGCCATGGGGTGAGGAGGGGGCGGTGGCAGCAGGCGGGGAGCGCGTCTCTGAGGAAGAGGAGTGATCTGACCACATCCCAATGGGATGCTGAGAGCACAGCAGAGGCGGACGCCCAGGAGGAAGCAGCTGCAGCTGTCAGGTGGCGTGCACGCGGTGGGGGATGAGCTCGGGGTTGGGGGCATTGGAACTGGATCTGGCCGGGCCGGCGGCCACATCTGCCTTGAGCAGGCAGCACTGATTGCTGAGGTAGGGAGGAGCTTTTGAGGGGGAAAGATGGAGTTGTGTTTTGATGTGTCAGGATTGAGAAGACACCTGTTAGACATCCAGGTATAGAGGATGTCGGAGAGGCAGTGGGGTGGGAGTCGGGACTGGAGAGGGACACTTTGGAGTTGTCTGTGCGTAGATGTGGTGGGAAGCCTGTGACAGAACAATCACCTGGGGAATTGGATGGCGGGGTCAGAAGGAAGCTCAGCCCAGGGCCCAGTCTCCCAGAGCAAGTAGAGAGAAACCCAGGAGGCAGCCGAGAGAACAGGAGCCTGAAGCCACGTGTTCGGAGGAGGAGGGAGCTGAGCCCCCTCCACAGTCAGAAGCCTAAGGGCTGAGCATTGGCCTTTGCATTTGCCACACGGAGGTGAGTGGCGACTGACAGGCCCTGTCTGTGGAATGGAGGGAAGAGAGTCTGAGTGGAAGGTTTGAGAGCATTCGGAGTTGGAAGGGAGGGGAGACGGGGGCTGGGGGTTGGAAGCAGTAAACAGAGACAACTCTCGTGAGTTTCTGTGAAGGGAAACAGAAAAAAGGCGGGGTCACTGGAGAGAGAGAGATGTGGGGCTACGGAGAGTGTTTTAAAAGTGGGAGGTGGTGGGGTGTGTCTCTGAGCCAGAGAGGACGTTCTGGGAAGCATAGAGAAACGGACGGTGTGTGGGGACGAGCGTTAAGGCAAGTGAATGAGGCTGTGGGCGAGGGTCGAGGCCCACGTTGGGGGGTGGCCCCTGACAGGGGCTGCGGCAGATCATCCCAGTGGGATCAGGGGAGATGTGTGTGCCGAGAGAACACGGGGCTTTCTGAAAGATCGCTTGGTCTTGCCGTGAAGCACAGGCCAGCTGACCGGGCAGCCTAGGCTTGGAAAATAGGAGGTGGGCAGTGGGGCTTTAAGGGAGAGCGAACAGGGCCGGGGAGAGCGGTGGGAGGGAACGAGGTTGAGGCCTCTGCACAGGTCCGGTTGTCTGCTGCTTAGACACCAGGGTTTGATCTGCGGGCGCTTAGGTCTGGCCAGGGTTGGGAGTTGTTAGCAGGGTGAGGCTGCCTGGTGGTGGTTTTGGCATTGTCCCATCGAATCAGAGGTAGAGAGAGACCTGAGGGATGGTGAGGGGGACAGACCAAGAGAAAATGCTGGGGTCGAGTCACTGGATTGGGGGTCTCGGGTAAGGAGCAGCTTGGGTGTCAGGTTGGAAGGGCTGTTGGAGCTCTTTAACCCGAGGCGCTGGGAGGGTGAGTTGGGGGTGGGGATTGGAGATCCACAGGTGTTAGTGATGGATTGGATTTGCGATGTGTGAGGAGAGCTGAGTCACGGAGAACACCTGCTGGTTGGGCCTGTGCGTTTGAATGGACAGCAGTGCTCTTTTTAATGATAAAGAACACGAGAAGGCCTTCAGCTTTGGACAGGTGGGGACGATCTGGAGTTTGATGGTGGATATAGGGGTCTCTGAGATATGTAGGAGGTGACAAGGGAGCAATTGGATTTTCTTGTCTGGCGCTCACAGAAGTCTGGGCCAGAGGTATGAGTGTGGGTCGCATTTGGAGCTGTGGGTGGAATGAGGTCTTCCAGGGCGAGGGGACAGTGAGAAGCAGAGGGCCCCCGACTGCAGACGGCAGCACCACAAAGGCCTAGCGTTACAGGACAGGCAGGGGCTCACTGCTTCTCCTGCCACCTCTCGGAGCCAGGACTTCCTCCCCGGCCACACTCTGGAACTATCTAGGTCTGGGGTGATTCATTCATTCACTTACTTATTCATCAACTGTCGAAGGCTATTTTTGTGACAAGTACATTGTGGATGCTGGGGATGCGACCCTGATCTTCTCTGGCGTGAGCTGGTCCTCAGCTCCAGGGTCCGTGCAGCTGCCATGAGGCAGTAGTGGCCTGTCCACTGGTGGCAGGGCCTCGCCGGGGTCCGTGAGCTTGCGTGCTCTTTCCGCAGCTGCGCATGGAGTACCTCTCCCTGATGCATGCCGTGGTCCGCTCCACGCCCTACCTGCAGCACCGTCACCGGCTCCCTGACCTGCAAGCCACACTGCGGCGCATCCTGACCGAGGAGGACACCTCGCCCCAGTGCCAGATGGACCGCATGATTGTCCGAGAGATGTGCACGGGGTTCCCAGTGCTGGGCGAGGCTCCCAGCTAGCGTCTCCTCCCCCACTTCCCTGCAGCCCCGGGCAGGGTGCGCTCCCCAGCCCCTGCCCTGCAGCCCTGGGCAGGGGCAGGGGACTTGGGGCTTGGCCCTAAGAATGTGTTGCACTGACAGTGTGAGTGGGGTAGGGGTGGAAGGGACCTGAGCAGGGGCCCCCTGGGGTAGGGGTGGAAGGGACCTGAGCAGGGGCCCCCACCTGAAGTAGGGCTAATGCGAGGGGCCAAGTGCAGGATTGGGGACCACGTTCTGGGAGCAGTGCTGGGGCAGAGGGAATGTGTGAGCTGAAGCCCCTCCATCTCCCGGTAGCTGCCTCTTCAGCATGCCCCCCCACCCCCCGCCCCATATACACATGCACACTCAGAGTCCTGCTGCTGCTCCCGGCTGGGCCAGAGCCCCCATCCCCCCAGCCTGGTCTGTGTCCTGGGCTTCAGGAAGCCATGTCCTTGGGGTGAGGGGAGACCTCCCGCCAGCTCTATTCTTTGCCTTAGCTTTGTGCTCCCTTTGCTCCCACCCCTGGGGCCTCGGCCAAGCTGCTGCTTTGAAAGCAGAATCTTGGACGCAGGCCACCCATCCTTGAGCCTCACAGAATGGTGTGATGGCATCCAGAAAGCCAATGACAGAATCTATTTTCTCTGTAAAAACGTAGACTGAAAAGCCATGTGTATTTTCCTATGTGCTGTAGCTCACCTTTGGAAATAAATCACAGGCCTCTGGAAACAGACTTCCCTGTATGATCCTGGGTGGTGGTAGGAGAGGGTGGGAAGGGGCACTGGGGCCTCAGGACCTCACCGAGCGTACCCTGGTCTCTCCAGCCTGAGGAGGTGATGGTTCCAGACAGGCCTGTCCTTCAAGGTCCCTTGAGCCCTATTCCAGCCTCTCTTCCCTGAGTTCCCACTTCTGGGCCACAGCCACAGCCAACTAGTGTCCCGTGGTCGGTTGGCAGGTGACTGCCCCTCCAGGCTTCACTTAAAACCGTTCTTTGCCTTGATGGAATGCTATCTCTCCCCTCTGTGAAAACCCTACCCCAGCCCTGGCCTCTCTGAACACCTGGGCCCTGCTCTGTTTTTCTTCCTCATTCATCAAGGAGCCCAACAAGATCCCCTCATTTTGCAGCCTCAGCAGAGATTTTGTTTTGGTAATTACAGTTAGGACAAAAAGTATCAAAACAAGTGTGAGGTTAGATTTACACTATTGTTGCAGGGGAATTAGGAGCCATTTGGTAAAAACTTCATTTTCCTTGTGGGCTCCCAAGTTAAAAAGGCTCTTGCCATAAGTAGGGGCAGAGAGTCAGGACCCAACCAGTTGGAATGGTTTTCATCAGTTTCCTTCATTTTTTTACCCAAGACGATTGTTAACAGATGATTGCATACATCCAGAATTGCTGATACTCTGACCTCCGGTCATGATTTTTCCTTTCTCACTGGGATGCTGAAGGCAGAGGGCTGTTCTCCCAACAGGGCTGTGATGCAGTGAAGCACAGGCCAGGGTGGGGTCCCCAGGAAACAGGTCCTTGGGAAGCTAAGACAGGAACATTTGATGGGACCCATGGGAGCAAAGCCCAGGAGGCCGATGGGTAGACATCCTTCCTTAGCTGTTGACTCTTTGAGAAGGTTAAATGCACAGGCTCACTGGACCTGAGGAGGGGCTGACCAGATGTTTGGTCCTGGTAATGCTCCCTGTGGCACAACTTGGTCACTCTCTTCATCCTCGAGGCATCTGCCTCTCTTTCACATCCAGCATCAATGAAACCGACTTCCAGTCACGGCTCCTTTCTCACTGGAGCGCTGAAGGCAGACAACCACGATTCTCCTGAAATAACTTTCGTTCAGTGGGAAGCCCAGGTCCTCGGGAAGCTAAGGCAGGAACATTTGACAGCCTCTATGCCTTGCTCTGTTCCCTCTTACGATGCATATTACCGACCTTGTGGGAAGAGCAGGGCTGTGCTGTGCCATCTGTCCCAGTGCACCTATGACAAATAGTGTGGCCCTGTGGTAGGAGGACCAGAAGCTTCTTCCTGTGTCCACAGGATTGTCCAAGGGCCCTTGTGCATGTTTGTAGAAGGGACACGGGAGCCTCAGCTGACAAAGTCAATAAATGCTGGCCCTTGGCAGCAAACAGATGCTCCAAGAGAGTCCAGCACTCTAGGACCCTCTCAGCAAGCACTTGGTGATGGTCTCACGACACAAAATTAGAACCACAAGGGAAAAGAACTGAAGAGGAAACTGCCTTTGAGAGAAGATCTTGGAAAGACAGTAGGTGTAGGTTGTGGCTAGCAGGAGAAAGGGCAGAGAGAGAACTAAAACATTCAAAGGGGAATGTTTGGGGTTGAATAAACCCAGAAATTTTGAGGGGCAATGAGGGATGGAGTTGGGGCTGAGCTCGACTAGAAATGGGTGTCTTAAAAGTGCTGGCATCGTGTCTGTGGGATATGGACCAGAGTCTGCACGTGCATAAGGCAACTCCAGGGTAATGAGTTGGGTGAAGATCACCTGGCTGCTCAATTCCCAAAAGATGCAGAATGGGTATCCAAGTAGGTGAGGACAATCTTTTTTTGTTTTTGTTTTTTTTATGGAAGAATAACACTGAAAAATACAGTATACAGAGAGTACAGCTTCATGAATCATGACAGAATGCTAATATAACCACAGCCCAGGTCAGGAAATAGACTACCAGTCCCTAAGTCCACTTGTGTGCCCCCTCCTAACCACTGACTCCCCTGCTCCTTCCCAGGCCACCTCCCTAGAGGTAATTGCAGATAAATTTTGCCAGATTCTGAACTTACATAAGTGGAATCATACAGTATAAACTCTTGTGTCTGGCTTCTTCACGCACCATTAAGTTTGTGAGATAAATCTGTCATAGTATGTGGTTGCGGTTCCTTCATTCCCAGTGTTGTGGGAGACAGCCTCGTTTATCTGCTGCTGCTGCCTTCCATTGTTTCTGATTTTTGTCTATTTTGCATAGTGCTGTGAGGAGCACTGTTGTATATGTCTTCTTGTTGCATGTATGCAGTTATTGGGGGTATGTTATCCGGAGTGAAATCGAGGGGTCACAGGCAGACACTGCCAACATTTTCCAAAGTAATTATACCAACGTATGCCCCTCTAATGGAGTCTGAGAGTTCCAGCTTCTCCGTATCTTTCCCAAAACTTGGTATTGTCAGTCATTTTTAGTCATTCTGGTATAGTAGCATTTATTTTAAAATCTGCATTTTCCTAATTCAGGAGGTCGAGCACATTTTCATTAGTTTACTGTCTATTTAGATCTTTTGTGAAGTGCATATTCAGATCTCTTGCCCATTTATCTGGATTGTCTGTCTTTTACTGATTTATAGTATGTATTCAGAATGAGTCCTTAGGTTGTATATCTTACAATATCTTCTCATTCTCAATGTTGTCTTTTGATGAAAGGAAGTTCTTCATTGTAATGTAATCCAATTTTTCAGTATTTTCCATTACGGTTAGTGCATCTCGTGTAGTGTTTTAAAAAAACCTTTGCTTAAGTCATTTAGAGCTGTGTTTTCTTCAAAATGCCATCTTTCATATTCAGATGTCAAATCTATCTGGAATTGATTATGTGGGTAGTATGAAGTAGTAGTCTCATTTAATTTTTTCCAACTGACCCAGCACCATTTATTGAAAAGCCCATCCTTTCCTCATGTTGACTCTTAGGAGCCACCTTGTCAAAATTCAAGGCCTGTCTCTGGATTTTGTTCCATTGGTCTGTTTATTCTTGCACCGGCTCCTCACAGTCTTGAGTATTATAGCTTTCTTGCTGTTCAGTAGAGGAAGTTGTCCTACCTTGGTTTTCTTCAAGACTGTCTTGGGTATTCCTGGCCCTCATATATTTTAGAATCTAGTTTGTCATTTTATACACACCCCTTACACCACCTCCACACACTGTCTACGGGGATTTTTATTGGAGTTTCATTGAATCCGTATATCAATTTGGGAAGAAATGGAATCCTTACAATATTGAATTTTCTAAGCTTTGAACGTAGTTTTCCACTTTTTTATGTCTTTATTCTTATAATTGTTTCGTGTGTGCAGGCATATGTATGTGTGAAGAGTTGTTACACATCTTTCATTAGATTTATTCCTGGCTTTTTATATTACTTGATGCTATTGTATAATGGCATAATTTAAATTTTTTTTAAATTTTCTAACTGTTGCCAATATACAGAAATTACAGCTAATTTTTATGTACTGACCTTGTGTGTCCAGTGACTTTGCTAACCTCACTCCAATCACTTATCTATAGGTTCTTCTGGATTTTTTTTACATACACAATCCCGTTGCTGTGAATGAGTTTTATTTTTTCCTTTCCAGTCCTCATACCTTTTTATTATTTTTCTTGCCTTACTACACTGACTAGACCCTGCAATACAATATTGAGGCTTGTGGTCATGAATGTAAACTGTTTTTCTCTAGCAAGGCTCTGCTGCTCCAGAGGTGAGGAATACACAAATAGTCTATTTTAAGTGAGTTTAGATTTTAGCCCAGCGTGTTTGTCCAGGAAGAGTAGGGCAAGAGAGTTATAGTACTGGATTCTATCAGGCTGATGGTAAAGGCAAGGAACTGAGGAAGTGACGAATGATGGATTAGAGATCTCAGTGAGGTCAAAGAACTGTTAGATAATTGAGCTGGATAAGTTGGCTAGGTCTTCTGGCCTGCTCTCTCAGCAAGGTGCCCCTGACTGGGAGGAAGGAGGGAGCAAACACAGAGTAGGGAGGACAAGGCAAGAGGAAAGAGGCTGAGATGTCCTGGAGGGCAGTTTCCACAAAGCCTTTGCCCTCTGGTCTCCTGACCTGCTCTCTATCTGCCCCACAGCAGCCTCAAATTCAGGTCTGCATGGACTCCCTATCTTGGAACTGATGAGACCCAGGATGAACCATGTAGGGGTCTTGCTGTGTTGCTAGGAGATAGGAGTGAGGCTGGACTTGGAGAGAGGACCTATCACCAATACTTGGTTTTTGTCTTTACAGGGAACATTAGAAGCTACCACTGGGGGTGAGGCATAGAGGTGAGTGCAGGTGGGGAGAGAGAGGCCTCCGAGGAACAGCAGCAACAAAAGGAGGCAACCGTGGAGGCAAGAACAGCTGGGAGCGGCATGGATAGTCACCTGCAGTAGTGAGTGGGGGATGGGGAGAGTCAAGGAAAAGTCTAGGTCTTGCCTCCACAGGATACTCAGTTGAGGCCAGTGCTAGCCCTAATAGAGAGAGTGAAGCTTGATTTGCTTCTGCCATGGTCCCTTTATGCCTCTGCACATTTGCTCATACAGCCTCCAAGACCTAGGCTGGCTCCTTCCCTTGCAGCTACCGACCTCCTTTAGGTTATTCAGGGCTCCCCTCAGGCATCTTCTGCAGGAAGCTTTCCCACATAGCTAAGTTGGTTCAGGCACCTCCTCTGCCCGAAGAACCCCTTCCCCTAGCGCTCTATCTCCATCTTTCGTTCGTGTAAAGTTTCGTGTCCTCCACTCGCTAGATTGCGGACTTAGAGGGCAGGTGTGCTTCCTAACCACGTCCCCTGCCTCCCTCCTCCAGAGCCTGCGTCCACTGGGCCCCCATCCAGCGGAGCTCCCTGCCTTCAGTGCTTCTGCAGGTGCTCCACTCTCTCACCCTTAGGAACCAAGACCGTGCACCCAGCGGAATGCTCTGATCTTAGCCGGTCCTCCGATTCTGAGACCCAGGGGGGCACCACCCATTTGCCGGCTCGCAG